CCTCCTCCCCAGAGTCTTCTTCAAGATAAGCACTTTTAGTGTGCTATTGTGATGCATATAACTTAAACGTTAATATGTAGTTACCATTATTTCCTTTTTCATTTCTCAAAAATGATCATCTTCTCAATCAACAAAAGAAATTCATGGCATAGAAACCAAGTCCTTTATTTTCTCATCTCTGTGACTAAATTTTACGTCTGCTGGGTGGTAGTAGTTTGATGGACATAACAGTGTTGAAAGCAATCAGCCTAACCTATCAAAGGCTGGATAAACGGATGCCCTTTCTCTTAACTTCATGTGTACATGAGAGCATTATTTTGGTTGAAAGTCTGTGTGTCTTTACTGCCTGTCAGTATTCTTCCAGAGGAAGAGGTCACTATCATTTCCTTCAAATTCAAAATCAAAAACGTTTGTTTACAATGTTAGCAGTAAGTAAGGCAGATATTTTTAAAAATCTAATTATCTGTTTGTTTGTTTTTTACCAATAGACATCATTTTGCTTTACCTGGGTCAAATATTTATTCAACTATAAATGTAAACCTGTTCACTTAGGACTCTGTTAGGATGAACAAAGCTGAAATGAAAGCTGCTCAGATACCAGGGTGAAGTAAATATTTGCTACCTTTAGGCAAATCTCAGTATCTGACCAGCACCAGTGGCCAGGGTATCACCATGATACCAAGGGAAACACACACACACTCAGAGATTTCTTCCTCTTAGGTTAACAAGGAAGCCAACGTTTATGCCACCTTTATGGGCACTGTATTGAATTTTTGACCTAACACTGTTCTAATAAAGCAAAGACATCTTCTGACTACTGACAGTGGAGTTTTAAATGTTCTTCTCCCTACTGTCCTTACTCCTGCTTTTTAAGAAGCTCAGAAGAAATGGTTATTATTTATGCAGGCTTTGTGCTCCCTCTGCTGGTTCTGTAATTAACTAATAAGTCTAATTCCCATAACTATGCTGATGTCATCGATTAATTTTGAGCACAGACATGGAGTTACCCAAATCAGCCTGCTCTGTTCAGACATCATCAGGAAAATTAGCAGAGGGTCAGAGGAGGACAGTTGGCCTTGTGAAGAGAATGTACGTTTTGACTTGTCTGAATGTGTGTTTGAAAAACCTAAGTGCAGTTTTATGCTTTTGTTTACTCAATACTGGAAAAAAACGATCCATCATTGTTTAAACTGGCATAATGCACCCCACCCTCTCAGAGGATTTTTGGAAACAAATAAGGCTTTTTCATCTTTAGGACAAGATTTATTATAATACCTGTTTTGCAGGTGAGAAAAATAGAAGCTGAGAAATGATACATGCCTTGCTGCTGAAAGTCTCTCCAGGCTAAGAAAGCAAATTTCTGTAGATAGCATGTGGTAGCCTATGGCTTGACTTCTTGGATCTGAAATGTCTTTTTCTACAACTGTGGGGATAGGAATGTAGCTGTTTCTTAATGTCAGCACAGCATCGTGTCATCATTAAGAACAAAAGCTCTATGGTTGGATCAACCGAAGTGTAATTGTGGTTCCAGCACTTACTGTGTGATTCTGAATAAGTTACCTAACCTTCCTGACCTCACCTTTTTTGTCCACAAACTAGAAAGAATATTCTAGGCAAGAGTTTCTACATTGTGGAGTTACTCTAAGGATTCAATAAAATAACACTATGGTACAGAGTAATTCTTAAAGTGTATCGATGATGTTTGTGATTTGAGAAGTCTTTGGTCATTACTCATGGTGATTGTTCCTCTAATATGAAAACAGCTTTTCTCCCAATTATAAAAACTTTAAACTTACTGTGAAAAGTTAGAGGGGTACTCGCAAAGGATAAGGGTTCAAGCCAGTAGGAATATGCGCACATACCTAAACAACAGCTTGAAACAGAAAGTGCAGAATTGGATGGAACTCCTGGAGAAACCAGCCACTGCACAAGAACGTGTAGGAATTCAGACATATCTCCTAGGGATAAGTCAATCAGACTGAAAAAACATCAATGCACGAATAAACAACACTATCATTATCATCATAGTAGTAATGAAAAGACTTAACATCAGCTGTTACTCCAGGACACAGAGATGAGATTTGAGTAAACATGTAAACATCCTCTAGATGTTATATATTCATTTACTTATTCGAGCAATTTTTAATCCACCTATTTAGTTCGATGTAAAATAATTCCACAGCATTCATGCACCATTCTAGAACCTCCTGTTTCTCAGTCAGCACCATGGTCTAGCCATCTCTCTATGGCAATAAATGTAGCTCTTCAGCCCGGTCATGGTCAGTGTTACTCTTGGCCTGCTTGGTCTTCAGTGTTTATAGATACTACTCCACCCAGCTTAATGACTGTGTTCTTAGATAAGGCACGTAATTCCAGTAACAACCTAGGGAAGGCGGACAGAGTCAGGATGGAGTCAGGATGCATGCAGTGCTTTCCAAAGCCATAAAACAATGACTCTTGGACTATTCACATCAGCCCCTTTCTTTGACCTCTTTCTAGGGAGAGTTTGGTACCACATTGATGTTGGAATGCATCACCTTGCTCAGGTGTGTGTGTTGGGAGGGTCTTTGCTAATGGGTGTTGCAGGGGCACACGAAAGAGGCAGGTAGAGACTAAAAGACTCACTGTCTCTCCCTGCTCTGAGTTGTCTGGCTCTAATTCACTGGCCCTTATAGGTTTGGCTGAAACCCCTTGTGTTTATGTGTGTGGTGGGCATTTCAGCCAGGTGCATGAAACTCTCCTGAAACATACCTACCTGTGGTGCGGAGCCCAGGCTATAGTCCTGCCCAAGGGGCACTGTCATCTACATGTGTTTTCAAGCTGGTTTAAAAATAGGGAACCTTGTCCTAGAATAGCTCGCTGCACACTGATTATTTATCTATAATCTGTACCTGTCCTTTTCACAGGCCTTGGCTACGCTCTGACATGGAAATATTTGGAATTTATTCTTTAAACAGTGTAGGCCACTTTGGATGTTGACTTAAAGCATGCTAGAGGTTTTATAATGGTTATTTATATTGGCCAACTCTGACCGCTCTGTGATATGACCTGTTGATGTTGGACAGGGATAAGAGACACTGAATACAATGCAGGAAATGGAAAGAGATCAAAAAGAATGAATGTTAGCTTAGTAACAATGCTTCGTAGGTTAACAGGGAGATCCGTTGTCCGCGCACATGAGGTTTTTCAGAGTTGCAGTACTGGGCCCACTTGGAGGAATTGGGCATTCTCGTCTGAGAAATTGAAGAGAGTTTTTCAAACTGTTTTTCATTATAACATCAAGATTGTTAACTTTAGAAAATCATTGTACGAAATTATAAGATTATATAAAGCTATGTATGTAGAGATTTACATGTACTTAAAATGGGGAGAAAATAGCTTTATATGTATTGAAATTACTATGCTTTAAAAAAAAAAGCCATTGTGAAATAAATGCTTCTCTGAAGGTGAAGTCCCTTTTCGGGGACTCTTCCAGAATCACAGTGAAAGTGGCCACAGGCCTGCCCTGCTGCAGAAGGAAGTAGCATACTTTCTCCCAACTGTTTTCTCTCATCATGACACTGATTTTCTTTCTCCTTTATTCAATCTCAGAGTGTCCTTTTGTTTGTCACCCGGTTCCGATGTCATTCCTCTCCGTACAAATGTAAGATATGAGACGAGAGAACATGTATGTTTGACAGCTGCCCGATAAATTATGCAGAGGCACAAGTTAAGGACAACTGCAGTGGACTTTCAAGAAAACAACTATGGGGCAGTGTAAAGAATTCCCTGTGGAAAGCGCGCTTGGTCGACACCAGTTGTGACTTCATGAATAACAGAAATTGATCCCACTGTGTCCTTTTAGTAAAGTGTTCCGCATGGTGTTGGGGATGGCATTGGAGGAACTCAAAACTTGAAACCAGATAAAATATGATGCCCCCAAAAGAGAGTGTGCTCTGGAATTCCAAGTATTAAATCAATGCATGAATAACAGCACCAGATGGGGGTGGCGGTGAGATGGTCCTAGAAGCCTGGCCCAGGTTCTTACATTTTGTTCCCAGTGAGCATGGAGCTCCCGCCACATGGCCCTGCCTTCCATGAGGTTAGAGGGGAGAAATTTAAATAGAATTACCCAAAGTGTATATTCCTGTGTCAGTTTTGGAGAACTCTCTGTGGCAGACGTTTAGTGGTCTTTTGGGGAGAAAAATAACAAATGATTTCATCATGTTGGTAGCACAGAAAAGAAATGTGTTTGTTGCTCAAATCTAAATCTACCCCCCACCTCCTGCCACCCCTCTATTTGAGACCCCACCACTAATCTCCCCGTTGACTTTGTTTTAGTCATGTTCATCACCCCCACCCCAAGAGTGTATGTTTGTGGGATGATGGGTAGAGTTGGAGGATTCATTCTGTAGCCGTAAGGACATCTGTCCTTGTCACGTGGAATTCAGAGCTCATCCCTGTGACCTCAGTTGCATCCGTGTTCCAACCAGCCCTGCAACCTGGCACATAAAAACATGGCAGCTTATTTCTTAGACGAACTGGGAGAGCCCCAGTCGGGTTAGGCTCTCACAACTTTCTGTGTTCACTGCTCATCCTTGGATGGATTCCTTGTTACTTATGAGAACTGACTTCCCAGTAAAGAATGTGAGCAGAGTTATCTTGAAATCTATGTTGACAGGGCTGTGTGTATGATGAGAGAGGAGCTCGCGTGTGGGGGATTCAGCAGGGAGGGCGGATGACCTAATGTGACAGTAAATGACTAGGGCATGAGCGAGGCTTACCTGGCATCGGCCAGCTGGTTGTTGTTTTCAGGGGATTATTGTAGCCTTTTTTTATGTCTGAGTCGTATTCCATTGTATATACGTGGAATCTTAAAAAAAAAAAAGGACACATGAAATTATCCACAAAACAGAAACAGACTCACAGACATAGAGAACAAACTTACGGTTACCAGTGGGGTAAAGGGGGTGGGAAGGGATAAACTGGGAATTCGAAATTTGCACCTCTTGGGGAGTGATGGAGATGTTAGCTTTCTAGATTTTGGTGGTGGTTTCATGGGTGTATACATCTATCGAAATTCATCAAGTTGTACATCTGAAATGTGTAGTTTTCTGCACAGGAATCATGCCACAAAAAAGGTGTTAAAACAGCACTTTCCCTTCTTTATTTCTAACAGAAGTGGGCAGGTGTGCTAGGGCAGGAAAGAGGTTTACCTAATGAAGTCGCGTGTAGACAGGCAGTTGGCAGTTCAGCCCTCTTTGAAACCAGTTTTGCTTTGGTATTTTTCTTCCATTCGTTAACTCCCTTCAGTGACCCTGTTTGGTGCCTCTTTATACCATGACCAAAGTGACAGGCTTTGGTCTCTGTTGGATTAATCAATGTGTTCTTTGATCCGTGCCACATGTTCCCCATAGACGTCTGAAGTCAACATATTCAGCATTCGTGGTCTGGTGGTTCAGCGTGGTTACTCAGGCTGATGAACTGGTTTGGGCATTCGCCTCCAAGATACTCCTTTCCTCCTGGGGTCCTCTCTCTCACGTCTCCACTCCCAACAACACAAATATTGACTGTCCCAATCACTCATTAGCAGTAAAAATTTGAGAGCAATTATTTTTTACGGCGCTTGCCCCGAAAGACACCATTAATTACTTTACTGCCTGTGGATTGGAGCCGGTTTCGGTGTCCATCAAGCCGGCTCCCCACCTGAAGAATTATTTGCAACTCAGAATGTTGGACACCACTCAGGATGTTGCCTGGCAGTCCAAGCGCGACACTGTGCATTGGCTTTAGAAGTGAGACGTTAAGACTCTCCCTGCCTCGATGTTGGATTTCTCCAACACAGGACGCACAGGTCAGGCTTGGTGGTGATGGTGGGTTTCCCCAGTGGTCCAGATGCCACCTAGAGGTGAGCGTGTGTGAATCGGGAGTGTCTCAGCTTTTTTTTTGATTCCCAAGAGCATGAGAAATGTTCCAAGTCATCCTAGAAACAATGATCAAGAGGAAGAAGGTTTTTGACCATTAATTTTGATGATCTTACCAAGAGGGGCCAAAAGAACTGAGGCTCCTGGTGGGCCAAACTTTTTCCTCTTTAGCTTTTTAGTTTCCATCTTTCACAGGTGGGCCTGACCCAGCTTGGTGCCGGGAGATGGTTTCCATCCTTCTCCTACTCTCACAGGAATATGACTGCCTCCTGGAATGTGAACTTGTACCTTGAACCAGCTTGACCATGAGTTTCTTCTCAGTGTGGAAAACCCTACAAGTCATTTGGAATGTATACTTTTATTTACTAGGAGGAGGCTATTCCTCTATTAAAACTGTATTGATTGTATACATGACATGTCCTCTTCCCTCTCCCCCAAAAAGGAGCTGGACTGTGACGTGTTAGTGTGTCTGATGACACAGTAGGCCTCAGTGTCTGTTGGTTGAATTGATCTGTTGTATTCCATATGCATGGGAATTCTGATCCCAATTTGTGCATTCATTAGCAGTGTCACCCATCTTTAATATGAGTGGAAATAGCTCAGTAGTAGGTTTAGCAAGGGCTAAAGAATATTTAATGAGCACCACAGGATAAAGACAAATGGCCATGGGCGGAAGGCTGATGGGATACGTGGCATCTCAGTCCACGTTAGAGTAACGTGGGGCAGATTACACCGTGAGAGCTGAGGCTCAAATTATAAATCCGGAAATATTCTCTAAAAGCCAGTGCTGTTAGAACTTGCATGGAACTGGATTGAATTCTGTTCTTACCTTGGAGGTCTTTAACTCATAAATTGTGAATTGAAAGTAAAGGGAAAGGCCTGGTCCGTCCAGTGCTTCTGAAGGACTCTTCCTCAAGTCACCATCTTCCAAAGGACCAAACCATGGGTGTCCTCCTGGCTGTTGGTGGCTGAGCACAGGCACTGGACTCAGACACCATCTGGGCTGCTGTTTTGTTTTTTTTTAACCAACTGCCTTTTCCACAAAAAGCATGTGATTAGAACAGGCACTTCTTATACCCTACACTGAAATATCTTCTAATCAAGAGCCGTCAGTAGTCCAAGGGAGGGACTCTGTTCTTCTGCAGCCCGTGCCTTAAGCATAAAAGTCCAGGTTGCCACTTACTGTAGTTTAGTGTAGAATGAAATGATCGAGTCTAGCTTGCTATGATTAAATTACATATTCAATTATTTTTGTTAGAAATTAAATGCCTGATTATATTACCAAATGCCGTGTAATTTTACACATGTTGTTCCCTTACCTACCAATGAGACAGAAAGTGTGATTAACAATGTGGCTGCCAGGAGGAAGAAGCAAAATAATTATTTTTTCAATATACAAGTCCTCATCATGATTCAGAAATCAATGTGCATCCGTGGAGGACTGGTGCTCGTTGGGGATTACAGGCACCGGGGTGGCCTCCCCTCATTTCCCTGTGAATGTGAGACCTGGAGACTTTGGCTGGCCAGGCAGGTTTTTATTTCTCTCTTTTTTTTTTTTTTTAGAAAGACTGATGTTTAACTACAACCACTGGGACCTAAATCAGAGCATCCAGTGCCCAAATATGAATATTAATCAGACGCCAAGCCAGGGAGTTCCTCTCTGAGTTTGACAGTTTAAAGTATCAGTTAGTTAATTAGAAGATGACATGGCCCGCCGGGTCCCAGGGCTCTGACCTGCCTTCTGTCTCCTCTTTTCATTTCCCTTTTTGACAAGTCAGATTACATCATTACTGGTAGTTTCACTTGTTAGCCTCACCACGAAGTGAGAATATTTTAAGCTTTAATTATCCATGATTTCTTCCCCCGATCTCTCACAGACCAGGCTCTAAATGAAACTCAAAGAAACACACAAGAATTGGAGGTTCAAAGGCCCATGAAAATCAGCCTTATGACCCCAACACCACCACCCACCACAATGCAGTGAGAAAACGAAGGGTCTTAACAGCATTGGAAACTGGGTTGTGGTAGTCATGGTGACTGGTTTTCAATATAAAGACCCTGTTCTGATTTTGGTGCTGCAGGTGTGGATCTGTCCTTCCAAGTGATTCCATGGTTTCTCTGGCTTGAAGTGTTAGTTACTGTGAATGCCCCCAGGGGGTGGCAGTGAATTATACTGGCCTGTGTTTCCTGCCCAAAGCTGGCAGCTAAAATGAAGCAGGGAATTGTGAACTGGTTTCCTTCTGAAGAAGAGACCAGGGACTGGAAGGCCACAGGGTTTCCTCCCACTTCCCAAACCATTACATGGGATGAACCATCAAACTAGGTTGCTGTTTACTAAACTGTGACATTTGCGAAATTCAGCTTTTTCCTTCTGAAAAAGGAATGCATGTTTGCCACCCAAGCCACAGAGCTCACTCCTCCAAAGAGACCAAAGTAGGTAATGATCCTCAGAAGCAACTCTGGTTCACGTCTCTCATTGCTTCCACTCTTCCCCACGATCAGCATACTCAGCATATGATTTAGGACCACCAGCACCTCACCTCCCAAGAGGGAGGATTCTGATGCACCCCAAAGCCTGAGTAATTCTGCTCTAAATGCTTTGGAGGTGTTTCCTTGCCATGATATTATTTCTCTTTTGCAAAGCTTCCTTTCTTATGACATCTGTATGTGGTCCACAGAGGAGCTTAATTCCCAGCATAGAAAACAAGATTCGGATTAGTGTTCGAGTGAAGCTTTTTCTGATGCCCTCAGTAGAATTAACTTTTCTCCCTTGTCCCCACACCACCTCTGCACGCATCTGTCGTAGCATATCTGAATGGATCGCACCATTTAGTTGACGCATCTGTAGGCCTTAAAAGACACTGAGCTACTCGAGAGAAGGAACTCAGGTTTAGCATCGTCTCTGGCAGACATTACTAATGAAAATTCAAATAAAAAGAAGCAAACAAAATCTACCGAGAACTTACCCGTGAATGCTGTGAGCCAGCCACTCTACTGAGTAAATCAAAAAAAAGCTTTATTGTTAGTCTTCACAACAATCCTGTGTGTCAGTGAAGGAAATGGAGGCTTAGGAAGAAATTTGCCAAGTCCCAATGTCTGTGCAAAGTTAAAGGCTGAGCTGGGATTATAAATGTGGTGGTCTGAGCCCTGAGCCCTGACTCTTCACTCCTCTCTGCCGAACCTCATTCGGTCCGTGCGTGCTTACAAGTGATGAGAGGGAAGGATATTTGTAGATGTAAGAGGAAATGAGTATCTGTGCTCGATGTTCTGCTTACCCCTGAAGAGGCCATGACTTTTGAATGTATCTACATTTATTTATGAGATTGGAGGAGGAAGAGGAACCAGCACAAGTCACCAGAGGGCTCCATGGAGACCAGGAATATGTACTGTCAGGAGGACTAAGGAGGAGTTAAGAAAGAGTGGCCGGTCTGCAGGGTCAGACCTTACTAGAGAAGACCGGGCAGGTGGTGGTCTTTAGGAAAAAACAACACTAACATGGCCGAAAGGCTGAGGTCACGTCCCAGTTCTACCACTAAGTAGCTAGGTGACCTTGGCCTCAGGTCCTCAGTCTTTTTGGACAGCAACTTAATTAAGTATCTTTAAAGTTGGTGGAGATGAAACTTGGACTGTGGCTCTCTGAGTCCTCCTGCTCAGATAGTACGAATCTAGGACTTGGAAAAGTTTCTCAGTTTTGACAGTTGAGAAGTCATTGTGACCCAAGATGGGACAGTTTTAGTAGAATGTGCTGGCTGTGGGAGGAAGAGTAGGGAGGGCAAACCAAACCACCCAGTGTTGAGGTGAGAAGAGCCGATCCATGTAGCCTACTGCTGTCAAGAAGTGTGGCAGCGAACAGGAGAAGATGAATTGTGGCAGATTTAAAGGTCTTTAGAGAGGGGAGACTTCTGCAGGCCTGGAGAGGGGAGAGGCAGGGTAGCAGGGGCTGGACTAGACAGCACAGTGGCAGGAATCACAGTCTGGGAGACTGTGGCTGTAAGCATGGAGAGCCTGAGCTCAGAGGGAGAGAGGCCTCCCTTTCCTGTACCAGTGATGGGAGAGGAACAGCAGAAGGGTGGGTAGGGCAAAGATGTGTTTTTAGAGAAGATGCAAAGTTTGTTTCTCCCCCAGTGGAAATAATTGGGGGAAGGGAGGTAACAGATAAATACATGGATTGCTAAATACGTGTATTTTAAGGAGTTAGAAAGAAGCAGGGAAGGTTCTGCCCACATCAGTCTGATTTGGTCAGGAATCCTTCTGTGCTGTTGTCAGACTGGCCGCAGAGGGTGGAGCAGTCTGGGAGCGGGAGCAGGAGCAGGAGCAGTGGGAGTCAGCCCGCCGGACACTGGGGAGGTGGGGGACACTAGATGCCCCAGTCCAGACGGCAGGACAAATGACACTGACAGGTGTGGCGCATTACAGTTCAGTATTTGAAAGAAGGACTTGAGCAGAAAATGTGCTCCATCCTCTGTCCTTTTGTGCGCCCTTGTTAACCCTTCTTCCTAAAGTCAGGGAAATTCCCTGTCACCAGAAGCAGCCTGATTTCCATGTTCTTCTGCAGCGTCCCTGGAATGTAGGCTGGCTGTGCCTTCCGTGACCAAATACCTGCCATCAAGAGAGTCATCTGTGACAGTGTGGTCTTTTGGAAATACAGATGTATTCTGTTTTTAAAATTCTTAGATTAAGTCCAATGATTCTTTTGGGGTTTTTTTCCCCAATTAAAGTACTAACAAATGAATTTTTTTAAAGGTCCTTACAAGACAATATGTATTTGGCCACTCTATTGGGCCTTAGGTATTTTGCTCCTTTAATTTTACTGGTCCCTGCACTCTCAGTGTTGGAGAAGTGTTGGTCTGTGGTGTACACGGTACGATTAAGGATGAGCTGGTGTGCAGAGTGAGACCAAAGTGTGGCTAGGTCAAGCAAGGCTTTGAAAGAATGCTTAGTGTCTACGTTACCATGTATTTGTTCCTTTTCTGTAATAAATGCCTCGCCTCAAGGTAGGTTATGGTGGATGGACACAAACACAAGATGGGCAGAACTCAGAATGCTGACGGGGACACCTCTGCACTGAAAGGTGCAAAGCAAAAGAAGTGGTTAGCGCTTCTCGCTTATTCCCATAAAATAAATTGTCGTTTCAGAGCACCCACTTACTGGCTTTCTCGCTGCTGTGACCTAGCACAAGGCTGCCTATCCCGTGGACGGATCCCCTGAAAGATGTGGTGGTCCAGCCGTCAAAACATATGGACGCACATTAATGGGTTTTACACCTTTGTCTTTCTCTGCTATTACTGTTGCGCTTCAGCAAACCTACTAATATCAGATATATCCTACCGGGGACTATTTTAAATCACTTCAATTTTCCCTGCCCTTGGGCTCTGCCCGTAAGACCAGACTCTGAAGCATGAGTGCT